CGCGTCTATGTGTCTGGCAAACTCAAAAACCAATCCATCTGTGAGGTTTCAATATGCAGCTATCCCCACTCAGCGCGTCTATGTGTCTGGCAAAAACCAATGCATCTGTGAGGTTTCAGTATGCAGCTATCCTCACTCAACACGTCTAGGTGTCTCGCAATCTCCAATACAAATAACCTGTGAGGTTCAATATGTGTCTATCCTCATTCAACGCGTCTATGTGTGCGGCACTCCAACATCACTCAACCCGTGGGGTTCCAGCAGCTACCCCCACGCAACCCGTCTATGTGTCTGGCAATCTCAAACCTCACTCAACCCTTGGGGTTTCAGTATACAGCTATGATCACTCAACACGTCTATGTGTCCGGCAATCTCCTACATCACTCAACCTGTGAGGTTTCCGTAAGCAATCCTCACTCCACGCATCCATGCGTCACGCGTCTTTGGTAGCGCATGCTATGGGGGCTATATTTGGGGTGGCGTGTTTTACAGCGCATTGCCAACAGCGCCAACCCACTGAAGTCTAGATTGCGGGGGGGGGGCGGCTTGTTTTACAGCGTCGTTGCCAAGCGACGAAAACCCAACCCCGATGACAAACACCGGGGGGGGCGGTGAATCCAATAATGGGAGAAAAAAAAACAATCCGCTACGTACGGCTGCGTGCGCTATTTTTATAAAGGTGGACGAATGCCTATCTGCTTGGGAGAAGGATGGAGCTCCTGCTGAAGGAGCGGCTCTCGACCCTCTACACAGATGCGTCGTGTGCACTTTACGACACGGAAGTTGCGAGCACACCAAAGAATGGCTCGACGACCGAGTCCAACCCCCCATCTTGAACCCACTGCCGAAGGATAATGTCGATTTCGCCTTGGACGACATTTCGGATGTTCTGACACCAGTTCCGTTGGTGTCGAAGACCATCAACGCCGACAGAGGCGATCCATCCTTGAGGAACCTGCGTTGGGAGACGCTGTGCGCACGGCCTGCCGACGAGCTCTCCGGGAGAAAGGTGGACCTCTCTAGTCCGTCTTCAAGATCAGGGCACACAATGGTGGTACTGAACGGAGCGGATAACTTGCGAGAGGATACTCGACTATTAGTGTTGTTTGGCGGGGTGTCTACGATCAACCCCGACCATCCGTTGGGCGCCCACCTCGACGAAAAAAACCCAACGAGCAACAGCGATTGCGACGATGCTGGTGATGCCATGGGCATTAGCGGTGGTGGGATTCGGCAGCAACCACTGCACTATCACGCAGACGTTCGAGTGTTTAATATTGGTCTCAGCACTTGGCACTGCCCAGACACCAGCGGCGACCTACCCGAGGGAAGATACGGCCACACGGCCCTCGCCCTTGATAGGGAAACAATGTGGATGTTCGGAGGCAGGCTTAAGGGCGGGCTCCAAGCGGGAGACACTCAAACTCTGGACGTTAGAGAGATGCGGTGGCATCGAACGAACAACGAAGGCGATGGGGACCTCAACCCGGCGCCGAGGTTCTGGAGCTCCGCAGTCAAGGTTCGCGAACAAGTCGTGCTATTTGGCGGCGCAGACCTCCTCAACGAGCGGGTCTTCGACGATGTTTGGACGTGGGACGTACAGACCGAGCGTTGGATCGAGCAGATCGTGGTGGGAACACCACCTCTTGCACGCTACGGGCACGTGCTGTTGGCGTGCCCCCAGGGACAGTTGCTGGTGCTCGGAGGGTGTTGCGTGAGCACTTCGGCGGAGGAGGGGCTACCACCGGATCACGATCGGCTCCATCTACGCGTACGTGTCGCTGCAAGCTTGGTTGACCGCGCCTACAAGCTGGAAGAGGCCGAGATTGCCGTCGGAGCTTTCGACAGCTACAAGGAACTTGGCGGATTGGTTCCGGAATCTCTTTTTGGCCCAGACAGTCATAGCTGTGAAGGGGGCTCGACGTCGCGGGCGTCTAAAACAAAGGGCGCTTGTCGCTCCAAGAAAGAAAGGTGGCGGAGTCTCGCTCGGCGGCAAGCGCAGCTGGCGGCGGCAATCGCGGCTCGAGAAAGCGACACAAACCTGCGAGAGGAGGAGCTACGAGAGGTTCTCTACGAGCAGGCGGCGATGACCTACTGGGCGAAGCTCCGTTCTCAGCACCCGTTCAAAGAGTTGGACATGACTTTTCTAGACACGCAGAACATGATCTGGGGAGTGAGCAACCCGCCGGCCGTCGGGGGGGGCAAGACAACGCCGCCCAGCGCGCGGATGCACTTTTCCGCTGTAGTTCTTGGCCAGAAGGTGGTCCTCTGGGGCGGTTGTCTTCCGACCTCCAAGAGGGTGGAAACCGTTGAAGGGGGCGTACACGTGTTCGATCTAGACCACCTTCGGTGGAGCACACCTCTCGGGAAGGAGCACCCAGAAGGCATTCGGCCGAGGTTGTACGCGGCGGTCGGGCAGCTTCGTCGAGCACAGCGCGCGCTGTTCGAGGCCACGCAACGGGCGATGACCCTTGGCGCTCCCGGGGGTAGAACAATGCAGGTACAGCAAGGTTTCCACTTGGACGGCGCCCGGCAAATTGCTGATTCCGTGTTGTAGTTTCAACAACGGTCTGATGCGCATAAAAGTTCAACAGTGGTCGAGGCGTTGGTCGCGTGTTGGATTTCCTTTGACTGTGTTCGTCGCCTGTTGACCGAAGAGTGGTGAATCTAACTTGTCCGTTGGGTAGAGATTTCCGTTGGTTGCTTGCTTTATTGCCAATCCCTTTCGCTTTCTCCCGCGGTAACATCGTGTAATGCATGTGACTGCGGCCACTATGTATGTCAAGTCCAAGGTTGGAGATCTTTCTGCGCAATCGGCATTTGAACGACAACCACGTGTACTCCGTTCCCGCCGCAACGACAACATTCCACTTCATGCGCAAAAAGCTTCTTTGAACACACGGGATTCCCAGTGAAATGACCGCATTCTGCAAAGGACAGGAACACTGACGCAACTACGGCAGTGTTCCGCTGCTTGCAGGTTGTTCAGGCCGAAGCAGGCGTAGAGGTAAACCGTTGGAGAGTGACGAAGATAAAGGACGAAGTTCAGAACGCGATACCATCGCCGAAGTCGCGCGGGCAGCATGCAGGATGCGCCATAGGCCACCGCGTGATGTATTTCGGAGGTTTGGGTGCGGAAACCGAGAAGGGGGGCTTGCTCGTGCTGGACATTGAGCAACCGCACGATAAGGAAAGGAGGTGCGAGACGCGTCCGGAAAATTTAACGCTTTTATTATCGGGTTCGCCGGTGGTGCTGTCGTCATCGTTGCACCACAAACGATTCGACCTTGACTGTTTAGTCTCGTTCGATTTGGCCTATATGGACCCGACGGCATTGTTTGCCCTCTTACAACGCCAGCGGCGCCAACCGTTTGCTTGTCTACACCTCAAGTTGCGACAGAACCCAGAGGAACCCGCGTGCAAACACGACGTCCTGTACTGCTGTGGTACTCCATTTGGTTGATGCTATCACACCGTGTATGCCAACTGATCGGAAAGGCTTGAAGAGGAATTCCACATGCGCTTGGAGAGGGAGAGACAGCAACGGGAAGCCGCTGAAGCGGAAGCCCTGCGAAGGGCCGCCAGGCAGGAGGAAATGAGGAAGGGCCTGGAGTTGGCGCGCGAGGCAGCGGAGACCGAGTTCATGTCCGCTGAGGACGCCCGAAGCGCCATCGCGGTAGGATCCCAAACTTGTCAACAAGAAATGACGCACGCCTGTACAAGGGAATGTGTCCCATACCAAGGGATTTATGTTGAAATTATCGGGTTTCGTAACGTTACACCTCCTTTTTTTCGTCTCCGACTTCCACCAAGGGGACGTTGCCTGCTTCCATGTCTTGCGACTCAAACTGGTTTGCCTCTATGTTCCATCGCTTCTTCGCTTCCAACCATGACGACAACAGGAGCTCACGATTGCCCCAACCCCTAGGCTCCGCTGCGCGAACAGCACGACCCTCTGGCTGGAATGGGACCAGCCTTCCACCGACGCCGTCGGAAAACCGCCGGATCGTCGCTTGGAGTACACCTTGTACATGAGCGGCGGTTTTCGCGAGTGGGAGGTGGGCGACCGCGTCCTCGTGGAGTACATGAGTCGGGCCCAACGGAAGGCAGCGGCCTCCAACAGCACCATCACCACGAGCAGCGTTACCGATGCCGCCTCGCTCGCCGGAGGTTTGCTCAGCGAGGGCTCATCCTTCTTTGGCGGCGACCAACAGAGGCTTTCATCCGTCGGCGGAGGAAGCGTCGAATCAGCAACGGGCCGAGAGCCACTGCCAGACCTTCTGCCTGCAGAGATAACGGCCACCAGTGTGGTTGGTGGGCTGTTCGACATCCGTTGGAACGACGGGGAACGTGAGCGTGGTGTGCGGCGTAGCAGGATCCACCGTGCGGCATCCCCATCTCCACCGTGGACTATCATTTATCAGGGAACAGACTGCCACTATGCGGTGGAGGGAATGGTGCCTGAATCTGTTGTGGAACGAGAGCGAAACTTCCCGTACGAGGTGAGTGCGTGACGGCGACCGGCCGGGCATCACTAGCTGCGAACCGTGTTGCTGAATCAAGCCGGGAAGAAGCTTCTTCGGACTCGCTTACAGGCAGTATTTTCGAACATGGATGACGTCTCTGCACGTTCGCCCTGTTCGTCCGTGCAGGCATCCGCCAAGTTCTCGCTGCAAACCAAAGGAACTGAGGTGCCGCGGGACAGGCTGAGCAGACATAGCCCGGTGGTGACCCTACGAACCATTTTTGATGGACAGGGACCGCTGGCCGAAGGCGGTTGGTCGGAGAAAAGAGCGGGGCGGTCAACAACGAGCATGAAAGCCCGGCTAGCCACGGCGAAAGCGCTCGATGACTCGATCACTGCCTCCCAATCTTGCTCATCGGGGGTGCGCTCGCTGCATGGGCAGTACCTTGCAACGGGAAAAGGTGACTCATACCTTTAGTGACGAGAGAGACGCTGCCACACTGCCGTTGTTTGGAAATAGAGTTGTTGGTGGAATATTTCCCGATCTTACTCCCGCCTCGGTTGTGAGTGAACCACGGCAAAAAACTTGAGGCCTCGCGTCCGAGCCCAGTTCTGGTTGGTACAACTTTTGCCACAAGCCGACAGCATCGTGTTTGATGTTGTCCCTATTGCCCATAGGCAACACTTTGAGCACTTGGAAGGGCCGGGGGAAGAGAGTATTGGGTGCACAGATCTGCCACGGAAGCCCTTTCACCGCGAGCCTTGCTTCTTGTCCACGCTGACGGAACAAGTGGATGTGTCCCCACCCCAGTGTAGGTATGTGTGTGTTTACGTAAGACCGACCATTGATGATGACGATGATTAATTTAATCGCCTACAGCTCGATTTGATTAGCTAGATCGATCCACAAATAAATTGGTGGTGACCCCCCCCCATGTTGTTTTGGAGCATTTTCTTCGCTCAAAACCCCCTCCTTCTCGCCCTTCACGCCCCCGTGTTCCGGGCACTTCTTTTTTCCCTGCCGGAGGCGTTAACAAGCTGTCACCCATAGGTTTAACCTGTCTCCATTGTCCTGTGTTTAGCGGAGGCCACATTCAGCTTGAAGGGTCCCCCTAACAGCGGCGGGTTCGGCCTCGGCCTCGGCTTTGGCGCAACCAAGGGGTAGCTTCTAAGACCACAGCCGATGAAAAAATTGTCGTGTTGTTGTGGTTGGGTGAGTTGACCTGTGCACGCCAAAAACACCAAAAGTCCAACCGAAGCTCACCCGACCACGAATTTGAATAATTTATACAACCTCAGACAGATTTCCCGTTCGAGACTGTCACAGCGTCTTTCATAGGGCATGCCGAGGGCTGATTCTTTCTTTCCGAGACAGCTAGTCTGCTACTCTATCGGTGAGAAGCGTTATACCTGTTGCTGAAGCCTTAGGTGAAGCTAGGCGAGAGGGCTGTTTCAGTCGTACAGGGGGATGTACGATAAGAAAGCGACGAAGATCCTTCCCGTTCAGGGGGAAAGATCACGGTTGCGGGGGAAAAACGGCAGTAAAACCCTATATGAGCAATGCTAAATGTTTTTATATTTTCATCACAAAAAACGGAAAACGCGAGGTCGCAACCAAGGAAGCCATTTACTTCCCCACTTGCGACACACACGCACACACACAAAACAGCAAAACCAAGGAAAACCACAGCCACCAGGCTGGAGACAGCTCTGTTGATGTGTGCCATCAACGTCATCACCACGCCGAGAATCAGATGACCAACAGGCATACACAAGAGGATGACAACAACAAACACGTCTACCTGCCTACGGCAATCACAGTCCCAGCTACCCTTCGAGTCGGTCCGGGCTCTTCTGACACCGATCTTTCCCGCATGGACGGCGGCCATGATGCGGGAGCGCTCTCAAATGCAAGCACATCGTCCGATCCTGCGCGTGGCGTCAACCCCGGAACATTCTCTGTTGACGCCGCCGCTCCGACAACTCGCTTCGTCCCTGAAGCGCAACATACGCCAACGACTTCGACAATAATAGCAAGAATCATCAAAACGTGACCTGCCACCAACACTGCAGCAAATGCAGTCTGGCTCTGCTCACTTTCGCCGGACACATCCACCTTGAGCAGCAACAAGTCAAACATGCTGAGAGGCACAATCACATGATCCCCTCGCGAAAGACACATGTCAGGCTCAGACGTGTAAGGCGACAACATTTCGAAAACAATCAAGAACGACAAGGCGATGAGCATTGTAATCGCGATCTGGGCCGCATCGTTTGGAAAGATGAAGACGACTACACCCGTCAGCATGACACGGCGTCCGCATTCAATTACCTCGAAGTAGAACCGTTCGGACCTGTACGGCGCCCACAGACTGGAAATCGACTGAGCTACTGTCTTGTCCGTACCAGCATCGGCTAGAACGTGGCGCCGTTGACACAACAGGGCGGCGTAAGCCAGGGGGATACCCACAGGGTGTACAACGATCATGATCGCTGCGTACACTTCAAAGACCTTGTGCTTGGCATCCGTGCAGTGAATACGGTCGTCCGCCCGAAGGTATTCGCCGTCGTCATCAAGTGTGTCGCAAGCGAAGGTTTGGAACACGGTTGATACTGAGGAATAGACTGTACTGAGGAATAGACTACACTATACCAGGAACGTCAAGAGTGGGAGAGCCGTCTGATGTTTGTGGCGGATCTTCTCTGCTGCAGCAATGTCGCCGGATTCGCTGTTCCTATGCATCGCGATCCAGCATGTCATCGCCAAAAATCCAGCAACAACCAATGGTCCTACGGTACTGACGAAGAGTCGGTCGTGGAAGTCCATGTTGGACCATAGTCTAAGCACCCAGCTGCGAGCACGGAACCGAGGTCGAAGCTGATGATATTAATGGCGCTCAGAAAGTCTTGGTACACGCCAGGATAGGTGAGATTGGCTGCTTCAGCAAACTGCGCGAGAAAAATGTATTTCCATTAGGAAATTTACAGGTGTTGTTGTTTAGGGCATGGCGGGGGCACTTGCCCCCGACCACGGCCTTTAGCCTGCCACCAGAGCGCTACCATCAATGCATTTCCCGAAAGTCTGTGCTGTCCTTTCCCTCAGGGCTTACTCTCGGGCTTCCTCGCTCCACACCCGGTTTATTCCGACACGAAACACCCCGGTTAGTGCAATGAGGGCGTACCTGGGTATAAATCTGCCACACGACGACGATGATCGTTCGTGCCTGGACGGGAACGGCTCGAAGCACCCTTCGATGCAAACACGTCAGGTTCCTGTCTTCAAGCTCCGTTGACGACGATTATTGAAAATGGTCACAATTGCGAACATTAAAACAATCGCGACGATGAGAGCGGCGGCTAATAGTCCTTGGCGTCTTGAGCTCGAGCACTATGTGCAGGTATGAGCAAGCGATGGAGAATAACCGATCTCGCACACGGCGCAATCTGCAACGGTAGACATGGACACGCGCACGCGGCAGCAAGGTTTTGGGAGAGGGTGATGAAACGTGTGGATGCAAAGAGGATTCTCACACGTTCCGAGACAGATCAGAACCAAATCGTACGTTCCTATCTGCCACCTCTCGCTCACATGGTCCCTTGTATCCTGGGGCACGAAACATGTCCGCCCCCGTTTCTCCCCCCTTGCAGGCACGCGCGTTGTAGCACGCCAGGATGATGACGCTTTTCGCAGTTGCACGCCAGCCTTCGTCAATCTTAAGCGTCTCCAACGTCAGGCCATCTTTGTCGGCCGAGGTGTACTTGAATGGCACCTCGCATGTCGGCGTGAGGTCACCGCTTTCGATGGAACAGCCGCAACACTCGCCCCAAGCAGGACAATCGAGGCACACTGTTTCGAAGCGTGCACTGCTTTCTGACTGCTTTTCAAACAGTGGTAGGAGGCGAGGTATTGTGGAACATATATCACCTTCAACGAATGGAGTGTTTCACCTGAGTGTGCGAAGGTGCACCGATTCAGGTAGAAAAAGTCAATCGACGGATACCCTGCGAATCGGGTCCTCCTTACTCCACCCGCAGAATTTACCCTCAAGTGGGAACCCCTTGTGGCCAGGATGGGTAATTCGATGGAAGTGTCACAAGGTTCTTTGTAGGACCGACTCCAAGGGGTGTTCTCAGGACTGACACACATTGTGTCCATGGGAAAACGTTCAAGTCAGGAGAAAAAGTGTGCACCCAACGAGATTCGAAAAAGTATCCAGCTGACGCCAGATGCGAAGGTGTACCGATTCAGGTAAAAGTTAATCGACGGATACCCTGCGAATCGGGTCCTCCTTAACAACTAGCGGTTTCGAGGTTACCACTAGACAGACAGAGGTTACCACTAGACAGACAACCGGGGCGACCGGCTGTTGGCTAGTAGTAGACCATATTATACAGGTGTAGTTAGTTCATGCACACAAATTGACTCCTCTTGAACCGTTTACAGTTGAAATATTTATATCTGCACCTGTCTATTTGGTGCGTGCCGCGTGCTGCGTGCTGCGTGCGCCGCGCGTGCATGCTTGCGCGGGATATGTACATTATTCGAACATTTTATGGATACGTCCGTGGACGTCCGTGAACACGTCCATGGACGTCCATGAACACGTCCGTGGCACGTCCATGGACGCCCATGGATGTCCACGAACGTCCACGAACGTCAACGGACACGTCCACAGACATCGACGTCCGTGGACGTCGATGAACGTTGTCCGTGGACATTTATTTGTCCGTGTCCGCGGACGTCCACGGATGTCCATGGGTGCGTCCACGGATGCGTCCACGGACGTTATCCACGGACATGTCCACGGACGGGTACGACCAATCATTGCCCCACCAAATGCAGGCGGATTGTTTGGTACGCGCGTAAGGGATGAATACTTTTACACGAAGTTTGCATTATTACCCACGAAATGAAATAAATGGTGGAGAGGTCCCGAACTTCATGTAGCGACCATTGACGAGCAGCGCACGTCGGCTCTTTCTCGCAGAGCTACTCAACCTCCATCACCTTCTTATTGGCCCCCCCGCCCCCTTTTGATAAGTGGAGATTGTCTGCCAACGTTAACAAGAGTACCGTAATGGTATGCAACGAGGACAGGGAAGAACCAGCAGAACATAGATGGAAGTGGGGGGTCGAGGAGCTTGCGGTAGTGGACCAATACACATACCTCGGAGTTGTTGTTGTTGCTGCTGCTGTCTTCACATTAAAAACCGTTCCGATCTCTCTACCCAGTACCTTCCTGCCCGTTCTAGTCTGATACTTGACGGGGTCGATTTCCGTGGTCACAGGCAAACTTACCCAAAAAAGGAATACGAAAATAACATGGACCCGAAGGGTCCGCAAGCCAAAAAAAGCCAACGACAGAGAGTCTAGGCCACTCCGCTCGCCTCTACACATTATGCGAGGTAACCGTAGATTGGAAAAGAAAGAAAAAAAAAGGGAAAAAAAGAACAAGAAAAAGGAAGAAGAGAGCAGATAAAGATGGAGAGAAGGGAAAGCGAAGGAGAAAAACACAACGACACACGCCGTAGCGACAGACAACAAACAAACAGACAGAGCAGCAAGACAACACAAGACAACACAATACAAAGCGGGCCACCCGAGCCAGCACATGCACGTCATCGCTCGCGGGGGGTTGGTGCAATGGTGCGGTGCCGGGGGTGGGGGGGTGGGGGGGGGTGTACTCATAGTCGTGCATGCCGTAGTCGTTAGACCAT